GTCAAAACAGCATTATAATGAAGTACTGTAGTGCTGGACATCTGCAGGAAGGATGTTTTGGTTTGTTTGTTTATAGACTCCAACAAATGTCACATCATCATACGTTTTTTTTTGGTGAAACCTAAAATTGCAACCCTAACCCACTAATCGTGAATCGTATTGCACTCGCAGTATTTGTCTAAATAATCACAATATGATTTTTTTTACCATATCATGCAGCCCTGAAGGTAACTATCAATATCTGTCATAAAATGCTATAAAAATAAAATGTATTACCATCATCATTATTTTGACTGTTCAGTTCAGCTATAAGTATTACATATTCAGCATTTTATGTAGCCCACTGTGCACTAACATAGTGAAAACAGTATTATGTTTTTAATAAACTCTTGTTGGCTACAATCTTTAAAAGATATAAAATAAGATTCTGTGCATCTGTATACAGTAGCATATTAAGACAATTCTTTTAGATCCTACGATGGCAAATATGTAGGTAAAATGTCAAAATTAAAAAAAATTTGCAAAGCTTCCACTTCACAGGCACACATCAGTAAATCACAGCTGGATCTCATGTAATACATGTATGAAGTACAGAGAATTGTCATCTGAAAGTGTTTCAGTGTGGCATGACACTAGTGCTCTGATAGGTCAACCTTAGAGACAAAGGCCACTAGCATTTCTACGAGGGGGAAGATTGATCACACCCACCTGCATCATTTACATTACAGCACAGCTTATAACACATTAGATCATTTGGCTAGTTATATGATAAGGTGCATCTCATTGTGTGTTACACTTTTATTATCTTCACTGAAACCACTCAACATACTTCTTTACACTTACAGCTTACAGCCCAACACATAATACTGTACTGCGCATGAAAATTGCAGAAAAGGGGAGGTAAAGTATAAAAAGACCATTCTATGGATAGAGATTGCAAGTTTTTTCTGCTGTGAAAACCACTGATTACCGTCACAGTTATTCCCAAAATGAGCATTGTTTTTAGAGTATTCAATATTTAAGGTTTATACAAAATGTACTACTAGAGTGCCAGCATCTCAGACCATAACAATGATACTGAAATAAAGTAAAACCATCTCTTTTAAGTCTTTCAAATAATCACCAACGCTGGTTTGGTGGTAATAAACCCTTAACTCAGGAATTACATGTGAAAACACTGTTAAAAACGGCAACATAAGCAAATGTTAATCCTTGGGAACAAAGTACGTCCACTAAAAGAGCTTGTTTTTGCCACTGACAGGCTCAGATTGTTTAAAAACATTATGGAAAGGATGCCTACAGAGACAGACCTTTCATTTAACCAGAAACAGCCATAATATCTTTATTGCTTGCCATACTCCATAGACAAAAGTAATAATTTTACCTCACATATCAGTGTAACTTCATTCAAAGTGGACCTGAAACTCTCTACAAAAATCTCTGTTTTCACTGTTCCAACAATCACCAATCCGCTTTGACTGAAATAAATATATCTTTTTTATATTGCATTATGTCATTATTTTTAATTTATTTACAGAGGTAGATGAGAAAAACAGTTGCTTTCCGTCACTCTACTCAGCTGCACAGGGAGAAAGCTGGCTATGTATACAAACCACCGAGAGGTTGCAGTAGCAACACAGGCAAAGGGAGTGTGACAGGACACCATGACTCCACATAGCAAATAGTTGTTTGCTGCTATATTAATGTTTCCGATGCACTATTACTAATACTAAATTGAATTTAAATATAAGAAGAGTATTCAAATCCACACACCATCCTCATCTGCTGTGTTGATTTGCTGATGTTTAATTCCATCAGACTCTAGGAGGTGTGAATAAAAGCAGCGCATGATCCTGTGCATGTTCAAACTGAACATGAGACTGCTTGTCTCTGTAAACCTTACAACAGGTCGACCCATTTAATCTCTACCTAACAGCAAAAAGGGGGAGGCCCCATCAAATTAAATGGCTGACTTTCATGGCCTCGGGCGACTGCTGTCAGACAGAGATGAGCTGGAAAATGCACATCTACTCTGATTAAATTTTCATCAGTCAGAGAAATCAAATTCTTCTCTTCAAGTCAGAGAGGTTCCCCAGTTATAAAATTGAGGAAGCTTCATCTGCTGAAGGATGAACAGAATGATTTTAAATACTGGAGGGTCCTCAATAGACCTCACTCCTGTCTTGTCTCAACCTGAAACCTGGCAGGTTGTGACTATGCAGAGAAGGGTAATACATTCCAAGCATACCACAGGGTCAGGGGACTGGAAGAGCCAATAGGTGGCCAGCTGACTGCCCAGTCCCTCCACCCTGCTACAACAGAGAACAAAAAAAGCCCTCTCAGGAAAAAATCTCTAAATGGGTGATTCAAAGAGAAGGGGGGAGCAGAGAGGTGAATACCCCGTACAAATTGGCCTCAGGTAGCTTTAAGATTATTCAGGTGCAGCTGTTCCCCAAGAAGAAATGTTGGTCTACTAATTGGTCATGTATTCCCCTCAATTCAAAATGTATTTTTTAAATTGCTTAAGCTAGGGCCTAGACCAAGACACAGCACGATTCAGGCTAATTAGATAACAGCCTGTATCCTATTGGGTTAAGATAAAACTTTATTGCACTCACTTTATTGTAGAAGTGGGAGTATAAACCCTTTGTCTTGACTTTTATCCTGGACTTTGTTTGACTTGTACATGCGCACAGAGCAGCCACTTTAAACACTGTACATGTCACAACCAGTTTATATGCCTTGTTCTTGCATTTTTCAAATATTCAAACTCTAGCTCGCTCCAATAATGAGGGAACATGTAACAAACAGCTCTGTGGTGCGGTGAGACAGATCTGGGGCCACAAAAGAAGCCAGACAACACAGAGGAAACAGACAAGACTGTAAAACCAGCCCTAGCCAAACATGGGACACACCATCAGCACATTGTGTCTTTACAGAATCACAGAGTATGTACACAACAACTTCTGAGTACTGGTGGACTGTCTTTACTTTGATGGCTGCACAGATTAGAGAGGACACCATTGAAACAGGTGATATTAACATACTACGCTTTGCGAAACACATGATCTGATAACAAGTACAGGTTACTATTCTTTCAGGGTGAAAGTGAGTTTTTGCTGGCAGGTATGTAGGTTAGCACCTTTTGAATAACAGGTTACAGTCACAGTCAGGGTGAAAATGTCACAGACTCTCACTTCTTCAAAGTCAGAAATAGCCAAAATTTACATAAGGCAACAGAACGCACCGCTGCTAGCTATGTATTTCATTGCTGACATCAGTGGCATCATTTTTTTGCCTCAGATGCTTGGCTGATGTGAAGCTAGCAGAGTGGACAAGGCGACACAACACTGGAACAAAGGCAAAATATCAGACAAATGAAAATGAGCCTTGAGTCTTTAATACTTCCTCAAATTTGCAGGAATATTTGAACATTTTAGGAAATACACTTACTCACTTCCTTGGCCAGAAAGAGGATTAGCGTATTTCCCAAAATGTATGTAAAAGGAGAAAGAGCGTGCCCTGGCTTGAACATCCACTTCCACCAAACCACTGATCAAGTGTCAGATGAACAGCGCTATCCATTCAATAAACTGGGGGAAATGTCTGTATCCACCACTTGGCATGTAGATTAGGCTGATAAACGTTACATTCAGAGTTACTTCGCTGGTGCCAACCCGGAGGAAGTGGGCCCTGGTTTACAAATGTTCTTCCTGCATTAGCCTTCAAAGCAGAACGAGGACACAGATAACAGCGAGTTATGAACAAGCTGTGTGATCATGGATGCGGAAGGATGAGGGACCACTGTAATTGTCCGAGGGAAATCCTACACTAAACAATGATACGGTTTGAGGATCTTTCATTAAAGAAGCTACTGTAGGAAGACGTGTCACACACATGCATTCTTCCCCTTCATCAACTATTCCTGAAGCAAAAAAAAAATAAACATTTACTTTTATCTAAATCATCTCTAACACTGTTTTACTACACATGAGCATTTGTGTCTTGGTAATAACAACCCTACAAGTGTTACAGGCCAATGAACACCTTTATTGGGAAACACAAACCCAATTGTGTCTTAGCTGAATGTAATATCCCCGGGATAGGTAGAAAGAAAGTAGAGCAGGTTGAATCACAGCTCTCCATAATGTGAAGTCAAGAATACAACAAAGTGACAAACACAGGAACCAATAAACTGATAGAAATTACGACTAATACTTATTTTCCATATGCTGTGATAACCTTATAAGACTTTTGCTTGTGTATTGAATTCAGCAGCATAGACAACCCCCAGTGTTCACCTGGCCCAGCTGTTTCACCCTGCAGCTACAGATTCTTCTTAAAGTTGCCTGTAACAGAAGTTATGGCATTTCTTTTCTTAGACAATTATGACTTTCAACCGTAGGATTGAGGTAAAATGAGATAGTCAAGGCTACAGTGGCACCAGCAATAAATTGACTGTTGCAGGTTTTAGACTCCCGAAAAAGCAAAAAATTGAAATGAGGATTTGTGCATATGAAATACAGCCGGTTTAATAGCTCAAATTCCTGTTGGATGTGACTGCTTTATTTATGACAGAGGCACAAACATGGTAGGAAACAGAACACCTGATCAGGACATTTTTTTTATATATATACAAAGGGAGGACTGAATAAATCTGTAGAGGTGTCTTTTAACAGGTGGTTGCCTTCAGAGGAACTACTTTACGTGCAGAAAAGGGGAAGTGTGTGATGCTAAGCAAAACCACTGAAGGTTTTTAACAAGTAAGCGCAGTTTGTAAACGGACGCAGGTGTTGCACGCAATAAAAAAACTGTAGACGCCAACGCTTCATTGCGGGGGGTTTTGCGCAGTTTACCAGGCTCAGTAAGCTTCTCTGAGGTGGATAAAATGGTTGTTTCTCGTTCCGCCTCCTGGTCTAAAGCAGGTGCGTAGCCTGTTTGAATGCGGTCATTAGTTTAACCTCTAAATGCATTTTTTTTTTCACAGCACGACAACTTACAGGTACTTGCTGGAGCCCTCCGTCTGTTGATGCAGCGCAACTGAGAATCCAAAGAAGCTTCCTTTGGTTTTCCCCTCTTTGATCACAGGAAACCGTGCATCTACATTAAATCCACTGCAAGTTTGCGTCCCGTGGTACACAGCCAAAACGGCGCAGAGCAATAGTTTTGGAGACATGTTGGGGCTGTTCATCCCTTTTGCAAGTGCAGCTGGGCTTCCCTCAGATCCACGATCAGCGTGGGTCTCTCTCCCGCGATGAGCTCCAACAGGTAGGCTGCGCTTCACAGAGACCTCCCCATTGAGAGCCGCCTGTTTCCCCCCTCGCACTCCGTGTTACTGACTAGGTGTCGGTGTTTGCCTCTCTCTCTCTCTCTCTGCTGCCCTCCCCTGCTCTCTCTTCCTCCCTCTCTAACCCCTGCGTCCACACCCATTTTCATTTGAAACAAGTGCATTCACACAGACACTGCAGTGGGGTTAGTTCTGTTTCTCTCACAAGCATATTGAAAATAACATCATAATGCTGTGGCTCTTCATGTAGGCTGATATACATGTGACTTGGATTTTCAGTAATGCCTCTGTAAAACCAGGGCCAGGTCTCTCTTGAGTATGAGACTGTGAGATTACCTGTCTAAATAAAAGTTGAAATAAATAAATAAATACATAAAATCCTCATACAGTGATACAGTATGTTTTCAGTGATATATCAATGAAAACATACTTTGATATCAACAAAGTTCAGTTTTAGAAATCCCTCAGTCAACAATTAAATGAGGTTACTAGTTAATTCCTCAGTATTTTCCTTTTAGAAGCATAAAAAAAATCATAATAGACAGCCGATAGTTCCAAAAACATATGAGGTGTTACATGTAATTTGTGTGGAAGTGCCCTCTCAACATACATTAAGGCAGAGCTGCATAGTGCCATGGTATTCAAGTTTTTTGGACTGTCTCAGCTGGTTAAATTTGTACATGGTATTCTATGTAACTGTGTTAGTTCAGCGCAGATATTTTCTGAATCAGGCCTCCTGTCAAAACTCCTTCAAGCCAGCTAATAGACCTACGGCCCGCCCTCACATGAGCACTCTTGTGACAGCCACTCTCTGCTTTGCTCCACTGCCTATCGCTCAAACGTCTGGCATCCAACAGGCAGTTCATTAAACCCTTAATCCCCTCAGAGAGTTCATGGAACAGGCCAGAGTTTTTTAAAGTATCCTTTCCTTTCCATGAATACCCCCTCAGCCCACTCTCAACCTTTTTCCCGTGCGGAGAGACTGCAGCTCCATGTCCTCCCTGTTTGCTTGTATCTCTGCAGCAATGTGCGATCTTTCATCATGTCTGCTTTATTGGCCGACTCCTGCCTAAAATCTGGCATCACTGACCTCGTCTAATTGATGAGCTGAGCTCCCACTCTGCATCTACTCACACTCCAGGAGTTTCTCTCACCCAGAGGTAATCTCTTCCCCATCCCCAGTGAAATAATGCCCCATGGGGAATGTAGTTCACCGTGCACATTCCACAGGCCGACAGCGAAAAGGTTTGTGTGTGCTTCAGGAAACACTGCCTGTATTTAGAGGTGTTGATGCTCTTTACCATTGTATAATCTGCATATTGAAACCATAATGTCACTAAACCATATGTAACTTCTTCTTTGATTTCAGGAAACAAATGTATGAAACAGAACAGAGGAAACACACTACAATCAGCAGGTTAAGGTGCATTCCACAGACTGTAATGCAGTATGAATCTGCCTCATAATCTTTGTTGGAGGTCATCTCTGCCATAAAGGTGGACCAAAAAAATTTTTTGGAATCTAATAATGTTTCCAGAGTTAATCCCGGCTTAACCTTTGTGTTTGTGCATTTTCATGTCATCAAGCAAGTGAATGCTTTTCAACTCAAAGGTGAGTGCACAACATGCCAGTGTATACAGTGTCAACATCCTGTTGTTGCCTTATCAAGACGTGCCTCTGGTGCAGCACTGATGTTGAACAGATCCACACGATCATGCAAATAAAGACCCAGCTTGACCGCCCTGACTCGACACAAGACAAACGTCCGAAGAGAGACATCAGCAGAGAGGAGTTTAAAGCCAAACCAAACCACAATAGATGAGCAATCTGGCCCCTCCCTTTATTTTTCTCTATGTGATTGATTCTCATGCTTTTTGCGAAAGGTTCTGGAGAGTACCTGATCCTTAACCCCTCTGGCATCTGACATCTGAAAAGTGTCGCTCTGGGAAAGTGACAGCTGATACTGATAAACTGTGTTCTTCTTTACTGGCAAGATATCCTCTTGTACAGGGTGTGTAATTGCACTGACAGCCCACTGTTAATCACTGTTATAGCTGTCTACATACTATAAAAAACTGGATCTCACAAGAGCTTTGAGTGCACTTTCAGTCCCTGCCCAGTAGTACAGTAGAGGGGAGAGTTCCGGTCTTTAAATGTGTATTCCCCAGACCCAACTGTAAGCCAACACCAGTCTCTGTGAACCATGGGGACAAAGACCTGAATGCAGTTGCTGCTGCCCCCATAGTCCTCTGCTCTAGAACCCTCCAGTCTTAACCCACACAACACACATGGAATGTAATTTGCAATTTATCTTGCAGTTTCCTGTTCCCCCCCACCACCAAACCCACCACCCTCCTCCTCCATCACCAAGATTCCCCCCTTCCTCCTCTTCTCATTATTACTGTGTTTTTTCTTTCTGCCTCGTAATATCCATTTAATTGGGAAGGTTAAGCCTACATACTTAAAACATCTTCCCGCTCAACTTTCCTGCTGGTTTGTGGTTTATCATATATAACGAATGGCTCCACAGAGTCCTCTCCAGGCATCCTTTGAAACAGTGCTGAGGCCTGATGGGGCTGGGTGGGTGGGATGCTATGTGGAGTTCCTGATGTGAATGTGAGATAATAGAAATGGACTGGCTGTTGTAGAGCAGAGCAAATGTAAAGACTGAGTGCATCAGTATGCTCCGTAATAGTCCCATTACACTTATCTCCCTGACTTGTGACTGTACTCGTTCAATAGGCTTTGTGTAAAATCTTCAAGCAGTGAGAACTGCACACTACAGCCTTGTGAGATTAAAAATAAACCAGATTTTTTTTTTCAAAAAGCCAGTGGCCTCGACGTAACTAGATGCCAGCCTCGTGTTGAATTTTCCATGAATAGTAATCCACATTAGCGAGACTGGTGAACATAACATACAGAGCAGGACATTGGTTGAATATGAAACACAGCACGCTCTCACACCGAGTCCTCGCTGCACGGTGACGACAGAGCCGGTCGTTGCCATGGAGCTGGGAGTTGCTATGAAGCCAGTATGTTCTGAGCGGTAGTAGGACAGTGTGGTCTGTTTAAACTCCAGCCAGGACTCTTGCTGGGCTCAGATGACCTTTAACAGGAATAAAACATGATCTTCTCTGCCCTGTCCACTAAACCAGGAATTTATCACAGAAACATACACACATTTATGCAAATTGATGCTACACATGCACACAGTAACACAAATAATGTGCAATTTTATAAAAAATACCACACTTTTGTCCCACATCAGCTTTCATACATTGGCTGTTCCTTGGCACTTGGCTAAACAGCAGAATATCAAGTGAACTTTCCACACCCCAGGAGACAAAAGACAATGAACTCCATATTTTCTTGCTGAAACTTAAATCTCTGGCACAAATGAAATCTAATTTTAGAACAAAATATAAATAATACACGAACAATATGTCATATTGTTTTGTATATCAAGCTTTTGCCTGAATAATCCACAGGAAGAGATCGCAGTCACAGTCCACAGTGATGGACTGTCATATCTTTCCCAACAAATGTCCACAACTGCAGGGAAACAACTGACCCTGGCTTATCTACCAATCAGTTTTGGAATGAAGGGAGGAATGATAGACTATAAAAAATGAATAAGGTATTCCAGTCATCCTCTAAAACACCACTTTGTATCAAGTTCTTGTATCAGTTTTTTTTATTTTTTTAAACAAATCTTGGGCTTCAGCTTGATGTCATACAGGATGGAATTGCCATTATCACAACCCCATTAGACCACATATGTTCATACTATATATCTAATATGGAACAGCTGGCCTTATGTTATATGATACTTCTCCATACATTGTGTCTGCATTGTGTTTTATGACTTCTCATTTGACATTTCGGTTTCTCTGTTAAATTGTCATTTATGGGGCAGCAGTGTGGCTGTTCTGTATGTTTGCATGTATGTGTACAGTAACCACATACTTTGTGTGTGTGTGTGTGTGTGTGTGTGTGTGTGTGTGTGTCTGTATGGAAATATCTGCATGTGTATTCTCACATTTCTTAATCTGATTGCGGGGGCTGTATGTCAGCATCCACATGTGCGTGTTCTTTGAGTGTTTGATGTATGTGCGTGTGTCAGGAAGGAAATGCAGCAGGGGTTTGGGACCCACACAAGGTCTCGCTGTTCTTCAGGTCTCTAGCTTGTCTCTAGTGTAGGAATGTATAGCCTGAGGAGGAAGGCGTGGCTCCGAGCACTCTCCCACTGTCCAGTGGCACCTGTTTTTCAGTTTAGCTTTCAGGCAGACAGATGGAGCGATGGGAGACAGTGGGACATAGTCACTGTGTTGTGGAAACACAACAGCTGTTACACAAACTCATGTTGTAAATACAGTACTCCAACCATAACACTGAACTCACCACAGTCCTTTTTCTGAGATGGGGATAGTTTGACATTTTGGAAAAAAGATTATTTGCTTTCTTGCTGAGAGTTAGATGAGAAGATTGATACAAACTACTGGTTAGCTTAGCATAAAGACTGGAAACAGGGGCTGGCCTGTGTGTGTGTGTGTGTGTGTGTGTGTGTGTGTGTGTGTGTGTGTGTGTGTGTGTGTGTGTGAGGTCATAAAATCCACCTACAAGCATGTTAAATCTTGTTTGTCTAGTCCGTATATACACAGCAAAACTATAAAAATGATCATTTGTGACATTACAAATAATTGGTACAAGGAGACTATTTCTTGGCCTTACAGAAGTTACATTCTGGCAACGGTGGCAACAAGACTCTAGAAGAACAAACAAGAATGTTTCCCATCTCTTCCAGACTTTTTGCTAAGCTAGGCTAACTGGCTGCTGGCTGTAGATTACGATGCAAATATGAAAGATCAATAGATCTTATCGATCTTCTGGCTAACTCTCAGCAAGAAACCAAATAAGTGTATGCCCCAAAATGTCAAACTATTAAGAAACCGTTTGACTGGAACCCACTGGTGTCATGCCAGAAAGTGATGAACAACAACTCATGGTATCAGAGCATTTAAAACATTTGGGGGGTGAGATGCATTTCTTAATGGAGTTTATAACTTGCTAA